TGTGGTAGAGGCAAGCAAAAGTTTTCGCTGTTGCACGAATGCGCAGTTCCGTCCGGAGAATTACCACGACCCTATAGAAGACCGGCATGAAGTGTTGTGCTTCTGCGTTTCGTCTGGTGAGTGAGGTAACCGGGGTCCATTTGATTAAAAAGTTGACAAACGCATCTGCAACCAGCTCGCTTGCCACCATCTTACATAAAACAACAACGGTAGCATTACGGCCTCTGCGCAATATCCGATCGCGTTTAAGCTTAATTTGATATTGCATATCGATCTCGTCAACTGTTCCGCTCGCCGGGTGCGTCAGCGTGAACCCACGCAACCTAACCTTTATAAATATTGAATGTCGATACGATTATTTACGACGGATATATTGAATATAAACGAGAGATAAAAGATCGGGCCCGATTCCTGTGTAAAGATCGCCCACAATGGCGCCTTTGTCGAGTCAGCCATTTTATTTGTATGTAAATCGCTCCATCGACAAAAGAACGTAATCTTAAATAACACAAATAAATGAATTTCAAATCGTTTTGATAGTAGATATATCAAGTCACCGTGTAATATTGTACTCCTAAGTATCACACGAGCTTTTTCTATTTATGTTCGCCACAAACTTGTACCCGCGACTTCGTCTCCGTGTACACAAGCAACGGAATGAATGTCAATAGATAAGTGTCATATATAATTATTCATACTTTCTGAAAATGCAAAATATCTTTATGTTACATAAAGTAAGTCAGTTAGCATATATATTTCCCAATGTTGGGCAAGCCTTCTCTGTACTAAGGGTATCAAGTCTTCACATGTCTTCGAAATATTTTTTGTTATTATTGCGAATATATGTAGATTACCTCACCACTACACACGCTATGTATGTACCTTAACGATTAAGTAAATATGTAACCATTATTTTCATGGAAATCCATCGGAGAGAAAAAAAAAGAATAAATCCTGAAACGATGGTTAATAATTAGGATTGTATAAAATTTTGCAATCACAGACAGACATAAATTTTTATCATAATATTTATAGTTTATTGTGTGAAGCTCACAACTGTGATTGATTATTAATGTACCGTTAATTATACCTCATCATTTAATTACGATAAACTTAAAAACTAAATAATGTTTTAGATGAAATAAATTTCAGCGCTATTTACTACCAACAAAAGCAAATAAGTGACAAGGTAAAGTTGAAACTTAAAAACTCCGAATTAAGCAAAACATTATACGTCATCAAACTTGCTAGTACGTCTTATCATTAGTATTATGTTGTATTGGTGAACATAAAAATAAACATTATTGCATCTTTTAAACTGTGTAAACAATCGGAACGATCTTTGTAATATAAAGGCCTTTTTAAAAAAGCGCCCAGCGCCATTTATAATCTAAAAGCGCTTTATAAACAAGCGTCCAACGCCGTTTATAATCTAAAAGCGCTTTAAAAAAACCGTCCAACTCCGTTGCAACTGGGCACGCGACCAGGTAGCGAGGATGAGGCACCTGCCGAAATATCTGACGGAACACGTCACACCCCCTTTAGCGACAGATAACGGTTAAACGGTATAGCTAATGTCTTGCTTGTTTTCTAAACAGGTCGCCCTTTGAATAATAGACACGATAAAGTGAAACGTGCGCGAATTCGTAATGAAAATATTAAAGTACTTTTAAAATAAAAATAAAAACATTGCCCTTACTTTAGGATAACATTATCCTGTGTTGTAAGGACGTTTTACAAACATAAATTAAACGTATTGTTTTACAAACATAAATTTCACGCGGATAAACACCGAGATGCGAACAAACTATCTGTGGGACACACAATTAGTTGTCCCGTGCGGGAATCGAACCCACCACCCCCGACGCCGAAGCCAACAAATACCTTGACAACTGCGCCACGGGAACATTCTTTAGTGCAATTACCTTAATCAAGGATTACAAATAAAACTCTCCCAGCCAACCCGGAGGTGGTGCAATTATTGTATTAAATTATTTATATATATTTTCTTAAACACATACACTCATAAATTTGTTGCTAAGCAAAAAGTATCATCTTAAAAATTATAATTATATTTAAGATGATTCGTTTATAAACGGGAAAAGAATAAACAGGAGTCTGTGAGTTACCCCTATGTTCACTTTATGACATTTGAGACAATATGAAAGAAAGAAAGAAACCTGTCGATCATATTATTGAAGGCCAAAAACATATCTAATGCAGTTGTTAGATAGGCGCTCTAACTTGTTAAGAAGGTCAAATCTAAGTAATAAACGTCCGCGTTATCAATTATGAGATGAATGAAAGTTTGCTCGAGTAAAAGCTTAATCATGAAAGGGAGAAAATTTTTTACACGATAAAGAGTTCGCAAGGTTAAAAATACTTAATAATAAAACTTGCATAAAACCGATGGCGAAATAACGAGACTTTAGTGATTCATTTCGTTTCAAATAATAATATTATCTAGAATTGATTTACGCTAACAACGCGCAGGTGTCGACCGACGTAGTGTTTCGTCGCAAAGAAATATATTCAGACTCGCCAATTATTCCAATTAATGAGTGGTCGCCGACAGGAAAAGGAAGCTGCGGGGACGCTGAGCTTCGGATTTATCTTTAGTTCGCGATTGTGCACTGACTGACGGCCCGGTTTGATTAATTAATTTGTGGGCTATTCGCCGAGGGGATAATAAATTGTGCGTGCCACGGCCTCCCGTGAGATGTCGCCAGTGGACGACACAGCGTTGAATAAATGATATACTCAAACGCTAACATCAAATCCGTCTAGACCGAAATAGACTGCTAATGATGTCTTATACAGGTAGATGAAGTCCTTAAAACTGACGTATCATTATTATAATAATATATTAAGTCCGCGAATAAGTCGGAGAATTATTTTTGTTCAATTCATAATTATTTAAGAGTCAATTTTATTGTAATATTAACTCCATTCAACATATATCTAATTAAGGGAATAATAAAGATAATTTATTGTTTTTGAATAAATACTGTCAGACGGACTAATAAAACAAAAAAGGTCAACTTTTTTGCAGAGACAGTATTCTGAGAATTACAAATTAACGCAGTGGATCGCCGCGGTACATTTTTTTTGTCTCAAAATCATGAATAGCGACAGAAATGGTTCCGCTAAATAAACAATGTGCAGTCAAATGCCCTAAGTCGGCACAGATGTTAGAAGGGACGTCCTTCATCCCGCATTATAAAACCCCAAAACGATCTTTGTTATTAATAATCATATCGGTGCCATATTCAAAAATGCCGCCAAGAAGGCGACGCACATGTGGAAGCCGACATCTTGGATTTTATTTGCATATGGCGGATGTGAATTGTTGCACATTGTTGCATTAATAATTAAAAAATAATTTTACCCAATGAACTTTTCTAGAATCCTATATGGCATAATAAAATATCCAATAAATTTTAAATTGATACTGCAAGTTCTTTACTTATTATGTTTTAGATATTCGTTCTTATTTAACTTTTCAGTAAATACTCATTCTACATTCTAAATAGCGCGTTTCATTACAATGTTATCATTCGAACAATAGCACCCTAGGTACCTACACAATTTTTTTGAGAAATTTTATTAACGTTATAAAATCCAGGTACTTTATCGCATTCCGAGTAACCTTATGTCGTTTTAAACATTTTAATTAGATAGCAGTTAAATGAAAATATTTCTTAAGTTTTGTTTTTGTTTAAAATATAAAAGCATAAGCATTAGTATTGAATAACATCTACTGAAGTTTTATGTCGACTGTTTTTGTATTGATATCTTATTTTTAATTTTTCAATAAAGTGATATCTACAACTACTTATTATTTCATCGAATAATCCCAAAGGATAATTTTGATTATGTATCATATAACAATATTTTCTAATTTAGTCGCTTTATAAGGATACAAGCGAAACTAGAACTTCTAGATATTCTTTGCAACTTTTGTGTTGCATATTGATGAGATAATTTATCATAAACTTATAACACTAATGTAACCGCGGCCTATCCTTTTATCAATGATCAATGATATATGCATAATAGACTAGTTTCGGAAAATGTGAAACCGGGGAATCCCTCGAAACAAACCATATCATGTTCTGCCTACACTAACATCAATAAATTTTGTTAATTTAAATTAGATAGCAGTCAATGTTAAACAAGCCGCCTAAAATAGATATTTTTCATTTGTCTAATTTAAAGGAATCCATGTAAAAAGAGTTTTTTTTTTGGTACAACACTACTTTTTTTTAATTTACTGGTACGGAAGGGTGAATTAAAAAAGTAAAACTTGATAATAAGCGGAGACCAATGAATGATCTGATCACCCTCAAAGATTTTCGATTCAAAAAAACCTCACCCTGGGAGAGCTTGACAGCTTTTTGTAAAAAATATAACTTTTGATTTCTTCATACACTACCGATGAAAATATTACCTCGTTAACTTTTAAATGATTAAAACAGAAAAATATATTATTACTTTTTATTTGGTTAGGTGTTAGGTGTCAATTGACCATACCACTCTAAACAATGGTAAAATATTAACTGCATCAGAGAGTCGTAACAAAATATGTTAAGAATTTATACAGAAGAATGTAAACAAAACAGGCGAGAAGTTGTCTTTCTTTTTTTTTATTATTTACAATATATTAGCAACATGTAAGCTCGATAAAAAAACAAATTTATTTATTAAGTATATCTATAACGTTATTCGTTAACTACCTTCACTTACTTCATGTTTTGTGTTCAGAACTGCACTCAAAACAAACATGTTTCCTATTATTGTATGAAAAATAACTTTTTGGAGCTTTTCGAATAATAATTCTATACACACGAGAAGGATACGAACTCTTTTTTTTAAACATTGACATTTAGAAATCAAAGCGATTGCTTATCTCCCGCACGACTGAACTGCTTTACATAAAACACCCGGATTTCTAACATTCACATTGGGTCGATAAGCAAAACAACAAATTCTCACTGAGTATGTACCTGAGTCGTGCATTCGTCCCCTTAGGTACATAGATAAATATTTTAAAACGAATCTAAAGAAATTAAAAACACACTAACCGAAAACGTTGGAGGTTCTGCGTTGACAGCTGAGTCGCGGAAAAATGCATTTGCGCGGGTCGTCGTCGATGTTCGCAAAGCACTATTTGTGACATCGTCATTCAACTCCGATTGCGATGCGATGCCCGTGGAGGCCTTGCGACGGCCACCAGCCGCGTCGGTGGACGTGACGCGACGCGTCGGGCACCCGTCGGTCGTGTCGCGCGCGTGTCGCGTCCGAGTAAACGCGTCAACCGCGACCGTGCGCGTGTCACGATGCACGGTAACCGTACTCACCACGGGGCTGTCGTCGCCGAGGTCCGAGTCGCGGTCGGCGTCCGCCATGGCGTACGCCGGCACCGGCTCGCGGTTCTTCACCCGAATCTTGGCGGCTTTCGGCGGCGCGGGCAGTGAGGAGTCGCCGCGCGGCACGTGTTCGCACGGCACACACACGCACGGACATGCACGGGACGGCGCGAGTGGTTGGCACGAGTGGCACCGCGGCGCGCACGGAGTGGTATGCCGGGCCTGCGGGCCTGCGCCCCCTCCTGCCGAGGCCCCGCCCTAGGGCGTCCCGCGTCGCGGCGAATCGAACGGCGCGATATCAAACTGATATTTCGGACGCGCTCCGCTCCGCCCGCCGCGCTCGCTTCTATTGTTTTTATTCGCGCTATAAAATAATTGCGTCTACGATAGCTCCTCGATCGCTGGTCGAGCGCAGAGTACACTCAGCGGCCCGTTGATCGATCGCAGCGCGTTGTTCGAATGTAAACTTTGTAAATGCAGATATGGAAACAGTACAAAGTACATTTTATTTTTTTGTATGCATGAAGTACCTATATTGTGTTAACAAAACAATTAGATACATTGGTATTCATTATCGTACTTCATTAGATGAAAGATTATTGTTCGACGTTGCACATGTTTTTTGAAATCATAAAAATGTACGGGCACATTAATGTGGGAGGCACTTATTTCCTGTTTTACAAAATAAAGAAAAGACGCAACTACATTTATTTGAAAAGATTCAAGGACTTATATAGACTGTCAATAACAGTGATTGATTCGCATTACTTTTCTTATTGCAAGTATAATACCCACAGTAGGCCTCCCAAGCCAAGCTAAACTGATTTCTTCGATTACATGATCGAAGACTTTAGTGATCATCAATCCTACGAATGCAACTGTCGAAGACCGTTGATCATGAGCATTACTCTTAGTCTTCCAATTAATACCAACGAAGCGTTCCATTATTCTTAAAAGAAAAAATTGAATTACCAGCCTATACCTGTCCCATTGCTGGGCAAAGGCCTACTCTGTATACGGTTATGGTCCACCAATATTCTTATCATGCATGAAAAGGTCTTTCTTAATTACGCTACAGATAAAAGATAGCAATAAAACATTTCCCGCTAGACCGGACGCGGTTACAGCAGTTGTAAGCAAATTCGTCAATGTGATTAAAGACTATGAGTCACTTGTTTTATTTATTTTATTTTACTTTTTCTTACGTCATTGAGATTATTCTCAGGCCGAACAGAAATCGATACGTTGATCGTTGAAATCGATCTTGTTGGGGCTAGTGTCAGTGTCATCTACATAGTTGAAACACTTCAAAGGGAGAACCTTTAAGTATATTTAAGGAATTTTAACAATTGTCCAAATATTATTTACGACAAATATTTAAGACAAAATATATTAGTTGTCAATCATTACATAAGGCACTAGACATTGTCCTGATTTTGAGTATTTTGAATAAATGCGCGAAATGTCAAACAATTATGCTCTTTTTATTTTTCTTTAGTACCCGAACATTACCATTACCTAGACACAGGCAAGACTGATTACATCTTGAAGCAGACTACCATCAAAAATTATAAAAAATCATTATATTGAGACCTTTTACTATGTGACAACTCATTAAGGGATATAAAAGTTTGATTGTGAATGTTTTATCTCAAAACGGATGTTTATTTATCAACTTAATGGTGTTCTTAATATTAGAAAATAAAGGGAGAGAAAAAAAGAACGTGTTAACAAAACAGATCTGCATAGTCTAGAATTTATTTTAGCGTTTACCATAATAACAATAACTAACATAATACATGACAGAGTGCCAAAAATCACGCTTAAAAAAACTTTAGCTTTTATGAATTAAAATTGACGTCTGATGTAAGAATTTACTTGAGAGCATAATAAATTTTCAATTTCATCATTTCAGCCACTGTTTGAGTCCATTACCGAACCTAGGCCTCCCCCACAGATTATCAATTTATTATTAAGAAAATGATGTAATAGGTATTCTGTTACTTGTATTACATTCGGCGGTATTTTATATTATAATACATTATTACATAGTCCATGTGTACTATACAGAAACTTTTCTTTGTAGGTTTTTAGAACTTTATTAATAAGGATATTTGAAGGAAAAGGAATAACGCATTTCGGAGGGGCGAGTGGGAGAGGGCCAAACCGTTTTGATCAGCTATTTAATTCGCGATGTCTATGTAACACAATAAGCATGGAAGGCGTAGTCATCAAAGATTTTATTCTGATTAAACTTTTATGACCAGGTTCATGAATCAAATTTCTAATTGTTATTCTTAAGAGAATTCGCTTTCCAATAAATTATTCTAGTTCCAATTGTTGTGTTCATAATATAACATAAAACTCATCGAGCTAACAGTAGGTATATAATAAACAGCGATAAATTTATTAGATCTCATATTCTGTTTATTTCAAATGACGCTGAAAATGGAGCACAAACAAAGGGCAATTTTTTACAATAAAGTTATCAAAAAGTTGCTGTTTAATTTTCTTTAAACTCTGGACTATATGAATACTTAATTCTTATTTACATGAAGGACTGCGATGCTTGAAGTCTTGTCAACGGTAGCTTGATAATTAATATTATTATATTATTAACAGCATTAGAAGTTTGATGTAGAACCCGAGCATCTTATCAATTTATATTTCGATGTTTCTTTGTTTCAATAGCCTAGCGAAACATTCTTGTCAGGAAACGGTGTTCTTGGGTGAGTTATTAAAGTATTGCCGGACTGCGGACTTATTTGCATCATGTTTAATATCCGCTACATCTCTCACGCGAGTTTTGGGACTCTCACATTTTTTGTCGGTATAAGAGAAGCCACATTCACAATCAAGCAACACTTATGGATCTGGTAAGGGTCAATTTTCTACCACTATTTTGAAAAAAAAAATACTAATTAGCTCAGGATTATTAAACATTTTCATGAAAACCCGCTTCAAGTAGATGTAACCAACCACTGTGGCTGGTTACAATCGTAAACAAGTTTTATTAAAATATGGAATATTCGCGTAAAAGAGATTACTAAAACTACTCTTTAAATTATTATTACTAAAACGTGAGCGTTTTTAAATATTTTTGTTTTCAAATTCATTTATATAGATACGTTTCAAATTCTTTTGTGTTTGGTAAATAATTATTATCATCGTTATTTTAACGCTCTTTTATTTTACTAACAATTTCGATCAAAGTTTCGCCTCGCTTTAATCTGTTTGGAGCTATTTTCGTTATTTTTTTTTTCACTTGTAATCTTTATAAGGTGTGCCAAACTCACTTGTTCATTTCGGAATTTTCTTGAATAAGCCATAGCAGGAATGTTTTATTGCGCCCCAAATTTGGCTTGAGCTTTTAATACCTAAGTGTATTAATATTCAGTATATACTATGATTATCTACATTTTGTATACTTACCCAACACCATCTATCAATTTAATTCTTTAGATAAACTTCCATCCTTTATTTCACCCTGATTAAAGGTGTATCAAGAGTTCTTGAAATAGAAATTTATTTATTTCATGTAGAATATTTATACCTAATTTAAGGTTATACCGCCAAATAAATTAATTTTCTAAATGGACGTAGTTTACAAAATGTTTTTGTAACCTAAATGTGGAGTGTACAAAATGTTGTCTAAGTGGATACTTTCAACGTATTAACAAGCTACCTATAGGCATAATTGCAATTATTATCAAATAAGCAAACAAAGAAAGTCATAATCTACGTTAGATCAAAATTTCCGTGTCATAATTTGGAGACTATTAATACTGTTATAAAGCAATTTTATCGAGTCTAATATTTCAACATATAATAACAGTAAAGTCACAGTCTGTATAATTATGTCCTACTGTTGGGCAAAGGTCTCCTCTGTACAGTGAGGATTGCCGAACATCACACATCTTCGAAATATTTTTTGTTATTATTTCGAAAATACGCAAGTTTCCTCACGATTTTTTTCTTCACAGCTGATTACGTGATTAGTGAGCATTTAAAATTAAAAAATTGTAAAATATTGAATTAAAAGCGAACGCCCGGTCTACTAGCTATCACGGCAATACTTACAGTTTGTATGATAAACTCTTATTGAATAATGGGCGCATATTCGACGGTGGCTTGCTAAACCATAACTTTCAACCAGCTTATGAAGTGATTTACAAATATCTACATATAAGATTTCAATAGTGACCCGATTGGCGTGGGGTTTAGTGAGACTGCCTCTTGCGCCAGTGTGTGTGGGTTCTATCACCACTACTGGAAAATTGAACATAGTGTCAACATCGAAATATTTATGTATGTATAATATGTATTTACAAAAACAAGATATGTTTATTAGTTTTCTAGTACCCATAGTACGAGCGTTTTTGGGACTAGAGAACGTTGTGCAAAAAACCTAAAGCTTACCTTCAATTAAATAGCTCACGTTAATTAGCGATAACTAATCTTTTTATTGATGAACAAGTTTCTAAAATCAATTCACAACAGTCGAGTTTTAGTAACGTTGCCAATCTTTAAAATGTAAGCTAACCTCACCCGTGACTGCCCCAAAACACCTGCCCATTTGTGCAACCACAGGATCGAATCATGAATTTATAATCATTGAAGAACGAGTGACATCTACTTATATTTTTTTTATAAACAAACTGTAATTTGGTGCTCACTCTCTTTCCTCTGTTAGTTTTAAGCGCTTATTATAAATGTATAAAACATTTACAATAGACAAAGTACACAACAAGAAACCTAAGATACCGGGTACATAGGTTCGGACAGCAACAATTAATACGGCCGGCAGATCAATCGCTTGTCGAACACTGCACACCGGTTTGCTTTAGTGCACAATTCATAAGCGCAAAGCGATTAAAGATATTAAATTGATATTTACTTATTTATCAATACATTGTTTTCGTTAATTTCGTGGTTCAAAGGTTTTAAAATAATATTGTGACGGAGGCTAAAAACGAAATTTTTTCCCACCGACTCAGTCAATTATATTTTTATTTTGATGCAACCCAAAAAGCATATAAGCCCACACTTTTCTCCGGTCATCTGCGAGGATGTGTCCTGGTCAAGCCGGCCAATTAAAGATATAGCAGAAACTGCTGCTTGCCCCGCCACTTTTATTTGTGAAAACTTTTTTATTTTTTTTGTTGGCCTGCACAACATCTTTTTTTTCGTGGGGAAAAATCCTTTATGGATCCCTGCCACTGGTTCGGGGAATTGACAGGAGTATTTATTTTTATGTGA